ATACAGGTTACTCTTTAACACTTCATCTTTTGCACCGCAGAAAACTTGCCGTTCGCTTCTAGGCGGATTTCTAGATCTGCCGGTTTTGCCCGGGACTGCAGGCACTTGCGCGATGATTTGTTCGCCGACGGGGCTGCTTTGGCGGAGGGGGTTCGATTCCTCGAGAGATTAGCATTGCCGCTGAAACTTTTTCAGCTTGGGAAAATACAACCGCGCGATAAATAAGCGATTAAGCGATTCGCTCGTCCGCCTTCCCAACTCTCTCTCTTTCTCTCTCAGACATCTCTCGCGCCAGTTTATTTAGATTTTATACGGTCTAGTGCGAATCTCTCTCCCTCTCTCTCTCGTGCCGAACTATAACAACGTCGTTCCCACGATTTATCCAACCCCCTTTCGCAAACAATTCCCTTCGCGTTTGAATTTTGTAACAAACGGAAAGGAGAGACCGCAACTGTCTAGGATGGGTCCAGTGTTCGTTTCGAGGTAGAAATGCATTTCGGTTTTTATTTATCACACAGTGGCGTTCGAAACAAGACCCAACTTATACGAGATGTATACAAGTTAACCGCTTTTCTTGCTGTTTACTTTTTTACCTCTCGGTATGTGCGTGCGTGAGACACATAACGTTTAACATTGTAGACCGCGTTATTTATAACGGTACAGCGTCACGAAGTTTATGACAGGGTGCAAATTACGACGCGAGGTCTCTTTTTTCTTCTCTCCTCTCGTCCGATCGCCTTCGTTCTGGGCTCGTAAATCTGACATATCGGGCGCAGATAAATTACAAAGTGACTGGAAGGTTAGTGCCACGTGGGTGGAAAGTCGCCTTGGTAAAATTCCGATTTGTTTGCGCGAGGAAAAAGACGGAGAGAAGAAAGTCAGAAAAAAAGAGAAGCGAGATTGAAGGCGCGAAGCGGATGAAAGGTTGAAGGATTTTTTCTGCTGAAAACTCGTCCTACCAGAAAAAGCGTGTGCAAATAATCAGAATCGATTCTATCGATCTTGATTGTTGCCTCTTTTCCGCGACGTTGATTCGACGTCTCGGTGACGTTTCTCGGATAATGTGTTTCTCGATTCATGTCATACTGTCGTACGTGTACTAGCTGTCATCGCGGTGACATGTTGTGTCTACTGACGGAATATGTTAAAATAAAAATAATAGCGTGCGCGTAGCGCACTGTAATTTATATTATATATAACATTAAATACTATATATTATACATATAATTTATTATATATTTATAATATTATACTTTATATTGTAATATATGTATTATATACATACTACAGTAATGTCACTGACCTCCGCCGCGCGATTTTGGCGGGGTCACTGACCTCGGCCGCGCGACCGCGGCGGTGTTAGGTTACTGACTTCGGTCACGTGATTACGGTATATATATATATATATATATATATATATATACATATATGCGTATGTGTGTGTTATATATAGATATATATTATATATAGATATAGAATATTACATATAATATATATAATATTCTCTCTTTTACCCTTTTCGTTGTCACGTGACTTTAGTCACGTGTTGTTTTTCCACTTCTCTCTCTTACTATTTTTTGAGTTTGATTTTCATGCGTTATTTCTGACATTTCTTATATGTGTATTATATGGTTTATAAGACGTATATACTATCTGTCATCGCGGTGACAGGTTGTGTTCACTGACAACACGTTAAATAAAAATTACAATAGCGCGCGTCTGTGTTGTGCTAGTATTTTAAAATTACCTTTGTAGCACGCGTGTTGTCTTCGGATTTCATTAAACAGAGAGCACGTAATCCGACTGTAACGATCGTATCACGATTTAGATCGGGAATGTGAAAGATCGATGATGGTAGCATCGATGTTTCGATTCTTCCCGCAGGCGTGGTCGGTCGCATGGTCGCGAAGAGCTGACAAATTACCGCGGCGCATGGTTGGCAGAGCATGAAGGTAAAAATTCATCCGGGTTTCGTGTCCAAGCCAAGACGTTCATCATCGTTCTTCTCGCCTTGGGTGACTTGGCGCGCGCGTGAAAAGCGGTGACCCGCGACGTGCCTTCGCTCGACACAAGCATTAGATTCGTATCGTTCTCTCGTTTACAACGCACTCTGGAAACATCTCGCACCTCGCGGAAATGTAAAACGTTTACCAGACTGTGTAAGTAGAATCGCGCATTTTTTTCCGGTGAAAAACTCTATCTTCGATCTTTCTTTCCTGTCGATCCTTAACCCTTGTGGCTATTTATTATCGAGAGGCGCAGCAATACAAACTGTCATTATAATTAAAAAGAGGTTTCGATACGTAGAATGCATAAAATTTTGTTGCAAAAACATATACAGTTGTTCCAGTTCGCTAGATACTATCTCCGAAGTCGTCAATGCGAGTCACTTTCATCAAGGTCAAGAATTTCTCTTTTTTTCGGCATGCATTTGCTGATAACGAAGAAAAACAGGCCGCGTGCGACGTCGACCGAGACGATCGATCGTTTTTGCGATCGGCTTATCGTCGTCGCACGATGCATCAGAACTGATTTCTCCGGATCGATCGGCTCACGGAAACCACCTTTCTCTCGCGCGTATATACTTGAAAGAAAATGACGATTTTTCAAGGCAATATCACGATTCGCAAAACATTACGAAATCAAAACGTAGACAATAGAATTGAGCGTTCGACTTACATTTGCATACGACTGTAGAACATTTCTGTCTTCGTAAATTAGGCGAATTTTCCGTTGCGCGCGGCTCGCGAGGTGCCATTGCGGTTTCGCGTATTTAGGGCACGCCAATTAGCCGGACAAACCGCTCGAACAAAACGATCGTTCTTCGTCGTGTTACTCGTCGAACGTCGCGCGCGGCATCGCTTCGAACTTTCACTCGGTCGGCTATCGCTACATCGCCATTAAGTACGTACTTTTCCCCTCCTGCACCTGTCTAATGTAGTTCGATAATTAAATGAGTCGCGCGTCCGTCATATCGTGCACTGGACATTGTTGACTCGTTTAATTGACAGCAGCAGCACTGTTAGCTGTGCTGTTTAAATTACGACAGAAAGTTGTAACGAGACTTGAAGAAGAGTGCGCGAAGTGCGGCCAGCGTGACGGCTCTCGCAGATCGTATCGCATCTGTATATTCGACGATTGGGATAAATGTGATAATGAGACTAATAATCGCGAGTCTAATTAGCCCGTTGACATTATAATCACGCAAACAACTTATACGTATTTGAATTATTAGTTTTCGCTAATAAAAATAACGATTTGCACTTCTTAGAAATGAGCGGAACAATAGAGAATAAATAAGACACAATAAACGTGAATAATAATGATGATAGAAAATAAATTTCAAGCCTGTGATGATGAAGAAGGTTGAGAATATGTGCTTGAGACGTATCTTGGGAATCCTTAGAAAGGGTTCGCCACATTTCTTGTAACTTGGCCGCGGTATTCAGAGCGGGCGGAGTCGGGAAATAGGATCGGCCGAATCGCGGATTCTGTCGATGAAAGATCGCCGAGGGAATATAGCGTCGGGTCACGTTACCGTTGTGGTCGGAGATCGGTCCCTTCGGCAACCTCGACAACAACGTCGGTCTCCGCTCGGTAGGTAGGTAGCACGCTAGCACGCTAGCGGCCACGCCAACAGGGTCGTGATGCGAAACACGAATAGAGACCCGACGACAGAGATACCAAGCCCCGACTCGTGGGTGACCAGGAAGTCGTAATAGGAAATCGAGACATTCGGTACCGAGGTACGGAGATTGTCACGAACACCTCGCAGCGCTCTTCTAGATTTATGTATATAGAAAAATTGTTACGTGAGTTTCAATTTGTCAAAGAAATATGTGTCAAAAAACATTTTACACAAATATTGAAGATAATTTGTTTTGAAAGTACTTCGCGCTCGTGCAAACTTTGCTTTTATAACTGAAATTCAAACTCTATACATGAGTTTATCGTCATGTCTCGAAAGACTCGTCGGGTCTTACGTGCACGTTACACAAGGAAGAGATTACAAGTACTAGTAAGAAGAGTTCCGTGCTTTCTCTCTCTTTCTCTCTCTCTCTCGATGTACCGTCTCAATCCTCTCGCGCATTGTTCGAACTGGCGTCGGAGCTCGCTTCCTCTTCATCCTCTTCCTCTACGAAAGATCTTCCCACGCACGTGCTGCAGTCCACGTACGGCGGGTCCACAGAGAGTCTCTAGTGAATAATTACTAGATGAAGATACTGCCGCCTTGTGTAGGCTGTAGTCTGTTCTCTCTGCGCGGTCGCCTCGTCCTCGCGATTTTGCAACGGTACCCATGCACCTATTTCACGCAACATTGATGCGTTTTTTTGCAGATACATGCAGTAATGATAAAAGATGACACGGAATTCGAAGAATCATTTCTGAGGTTGCAAGATAGCATTTCTTAAATTTAACAAAAGACAAGAGTGTCAAGTCAGTGAACGCGAGAGATGCGAGTCGCCGATGCGACTTTCTTGAAAAATGTCTCGAAACGTGTTCGAATCAGCGCGAAAAGTTTTTCGCAGCGTTGCTCACAGGTGGCAACGAAAGAGAAATCGTGACAATGCTGCTGGCTGCTGCTGTCTGCTCGTCGACTTCTTCTTGCTTGTTCCTCTCCGTCGACTTTGTTTCTAATTAACGGCCGCCGTGTGCTAATTGTCCAGCTGACGTAGCGGGAGGCCTTAGAGATTTCTTTAAGGCGAATCGAACAGGTCTAGCCTTGAGTCGCGCGAAATTGTTTTCTCTCGGCGTTTCTGCGAAAATTGCGAAGCGCTCCGTGGAAAGTTCTCTGTTTTTCCCAGCGCTTGACGTAATCTCGTCCTTTGTAAAGTAAAATCGCGGCACTTACGATAAATATCTGGAGTGATTACATCAATCTCGTTTCTTTTTATCTAAAAAAAAACTTGTAGGATAAGGATTATTAAAATTTTATAATAAAAATAAATCATTTGTGTGAAGCAACACATTTTTTCTAACGATCAATTTCTATGTTGCAGAGATGGCAGAGGAGGTGGTTTGTTCTCTACGACGACGGGGAGCTGACGTACTCAGTGGACGAACACGTGAGTCGACAACCACTTTTAATTTGTAATTTAATTCGCGCTTTAAACGAATTCAATGAATGAAATCCCTTTAAACGGATTATCTTCCCACCACGTATAAAAAGCTGCTTGACCGCCAGTAAATCCGTTTATCGTATTGATATGGATTCTCATTTCTGCCTCGTTTTATTGCTAACGGTGCTATTATATGGCGACAAACATTTTCTAATTTTCCACAAGTGCGTACGAGAATTGTAATAAAAAAAAAAAATAACTTACTCTCACGATAAAATCGTTAAATCGCGGTAGAAATGATTCGTCGCGGAAATATCGCGAATAACAGGACGGCGGTAAAACGGCGAAAATACGGCAGGCACGAGCGCGGTTCGAATATCGTGAACTGTCAGAGGCCGAGCGTTATGCCAGGCAGTGAATCAAGATCCATGAGGTGGCTTTCTCGGCAGCCGCGTGCGCGCGGCCAGTGTACCAGGGAGGTCGAAGTCAATTGTACTTGTACGGTGGCCTGCCGCGCACGCATCACAGCCCGGCACCGCGCTTGCCTACCTACCTATCTGCCTACCGGCACCGCATCGACAAACGTCAGCGCAGCGCGGCATCGCGTCGCACACAGAATGTTGCTATAAATGACCCTCGACACCGGTACATCTTGGGTTTCCGCTTCCTAGTGTCGATGCGGACGCGGAAACTCTTTCAACCCGTCAGAATTGATTTACGCACGAGTGAACGCCAGAATAGAATTCATTACTGTCTCTCAAGAACATCGTTCGTCTCGCGATACACACCGTGCTCAAGTCGCAAAAATGAGTTTAGACGAAAAAAAGTGAACATAATAACTTGTTTCTAAATATTAAACACAACAACAAATAAATCTCCTTCTCTCTTTCTCTTTCTTTCTCGAGAAGAGAAAGGCAATTACGGCGAGCCGTGTGTGTTTGTTTCAACTGATTTCACGTTCGGATCGGCCGGTATACGGCGGCTTGAGAAGCAGTTTCCACTTTTGATTAATGTGTAAACTTATCTCGTGCTTACTCGCGCGACGGCTTGGTGCATAAAATAGAAAAAAAAAAAAATCGAGAAGGGTTATATATTGGATCCGTGTGCATAAATTGAACAGAATTGCCGTCAGCCTTGAAGTGTCCTTTACCCTTTATTTAAATCACTCTCGTGAAAGAGCGATTGTGGAGATGGCACACAGCCGCACTAAGGTCTTTGTAGGTGCTCATCCTATCCCCGCCGCGCGACCGTCATACCCGCCCCGGCCATCCTCGAACTCAGATTAATGATCCGGTCTGGAGGCTTAAGAGGGCCATTCGTTTCAAGAATAATCTCGGCCGAAAAATGCGAAAAGATAATAACCGGTATACCGGCGGTGGACGCGCGTCCCGGTCTCCTACCCCCGATGTGACTGCAGAAGAGAACAGAAGTCGTTTCTGGTCGTCCTTGGCGCGGGAATGAGAAATTAGGCTAACGGGTCGAAATAAGTCAGTCGAAAGCAGCCCCGCGCGAGACGCGCGGCGTATATTTCCGTCGACTCGAATCTCATAATCTCGCGACGCGGTTCGCTCTCCCTCTCGTTATACAAGCGCTCCCGGCCTGCGAGTTACCTCCCGAGAACGACTCGCGATATCCATGTTCGTGGAAGACTTACTTCGACCGCGAACCCGACGCCCGTAAATTAACTTCCCGGAACTTCGAGAGGAACAGTAGGAATGCTCGAACAAATAAGTATCCCGAGTTACTTAGATGTGAAAGGCCTCCGAGAGCTTCTTGTTACGTCGGACGTTATGGAAGAGAATGTTCCAAATGAGACTAAAACTGAAACTTGAATTATTTCCACGATGAAAAGCTCTCTCTCTCTTTTTTTTCAAACAAACGACTCTTGTCGTCCTTGTAGCGATTAAGAGATCGGACTAACATTCCGTGAATAATCGGCGGTGCGGCGACTCCGCCGTTGCATTTAGCATCGATACATCATCATCGGTCGACTATCGGCCGAAATTATGACCGCCATTAATTTGCCCTCACGACTTTGTATATCGCGAGCGTTGTTCTCGCGCGTGTAAGGGGGTAAGAACGTAGGGACGAACATAGCCGCGAACGAAGCGCCTTTTTCTGCCGATCTGTAATTTGTTCTGTCATGAATCGTCGGGGCGGCGAGGAACGATCGTGGGAGATCCCGCGGAAGACCGATTGCTTTCGAAACAAAGCCTGGCTCTTACCTGTCTTCAGTCCACGGCCCCGACGAACAGGGCGCACAAGAGTAACAAGCATTACGCCTCCACCCTGCGCGGAATTGAATCCGAGCTAACCAACCGCGGCGACGCGAGGTTAAAAATAATGGATACTGCAGTTTCCCTTCGGCGTAATTGCCTTTAAGACCTCGAGCAAATCGTGCAAATGCATCGTGTTTGCGCCGGGTTTTGCTTGCAAATGTTTTTGTGATAAGACGAGAATTTATGAGTGTACTTTACAAGTATGTGTTTAGCGCGAAGAAAAGCGCTTTATTGTTTTGTTTCCGATAAAATCGATATAGGTGAGTCGATCAGCGAGAAGTAAGATATTCGTTTGTTGTGCATTTATCTGTAGCTGATAGGCACGTAGAGACGCGGAGAGCGCGTTTTCGCGCGATGCTTTCGCGACGGGCAAAATTAAAAACAGATCGTATCTGCCGGCGCTGCGCACGCAATGTGCGTGACTTTTGAAGTCGTTTATCCCGCGAAATCGCTCCGGTAACGAGTAACATTCTCCGGATGCTCTCTCGCGGCGCTCTTATTTCGTTTGCCGACCGTGTGGCTAATTCGTTTAATTATACCGGCGTAAATCAGCCAACTCTCTCGGTTCGTAATCGGCCGCAGCCATCGGATTCTCGAATTATTCGTGAATCAGGCCGCTGCGCCAATACGAAAGTGAAATGGACTTTCACGGGAGTGTATACGATTCGCGGAGAGCGAGATCTATAATAGGCAAGGAGAGAGAGAGAGAGAGAGGGGGGAAATTATTAATGGCGCATCAAGATCAAGGATCGGAAGATCCAATTTTCTGATCGCTTCGCCCTTGAAGGTCGATCGAACTTAACCGCGGGAAATAATTGAAACCGATTTATTCCGCGATTCGCGTAAAGTCCCGCTCTAATCTCGCGTCTAGAAATGCGAAGACGATCTGTACGCCGCGGTAGTTTGCCGTTTGCGTCGTGAATTTGCATAATTGCTTCTTGATGAGACGAATGGTCGCGCAGTCACAGATGGAGGAGTCGGGGATTCGTTTCTCCGTAGAAACGGCCTTCTCGATCAATTATCGATTATTACGGTCGCGCGAGGATTCCTCCCGCGGAACGTCACAGGGGAATTATACGTACTATCGAACGGCGTGTTTGTCATTACATTCGTTCGTCGCTCATCCCGTCGTCGTCGTGTCGTCGTCATTCATCACGGTAATTTGAATTTGTAAACGCGCGCGCGCGCTAGCGGTTTCTTCAATCACCGCTGCTATTATACGATTTCGCAGCATCCGATTATAGCGCGTCGCTGCTATTCACTGTCTCATCGCCTGTGCCTATTTGTCGTAATGACATCGCGCACGTTTTTGCCGTGTGTTTTTGACTTAATTGAACTTACGTAAACAAATTGTAAAACTTTATCGCGTCTGCGTTATTTTGAAAAAATCGTCGGACGTGATTTGGCGGACAATTCACGTTGTTGACAAAGCATCATTAACTGACCGTAAAATCACTAATGAAACATCTCGAAGTACTTACCGACCCAGAGAAAAAATTCCACTTCATTAGTCGTTTGTTCTTTAACGTGCAATTGTATTCTAAGCATCGCGATGCGCGGGGCGCGGCATATCGCCGACCTACTAATGATCGCGATGACGATGATCGACGATGATCATGAGGCGATGATGAAGCGGGTGACCCTCTTTCTGCCGGCAATGTGTATTCCAAGCTAAACGCAAGTTAATCGGCTGACCCCAATTAAACGATAGCCATCGAGTAGGCCGGGCGAGACAACAGCTGCGTTACCGATAAATGTTAATGAACCGTGGTATCGCAATAATAGCATCGTTATTAGCGAGAGCGAGCCCTCATTAATTAAGGAAACCTTTGTTCCTCCACCCACGATTTTGCGATTTTTTGCGCGTTAGCCGTTTCCGTTTAGAGGAGCTTCTCCTTATTGTCTACACACTCGTAATTCGAATGACTAATTTCCTCAAAGACTGCAGGGTATCTAACAAACAACAGGGACCTATACACACAAATGATAATTGAAACCTTCTGAAACTAATATTCTGTATCCCACATTTGCGTATGCAAAATTTTTATCGAGTTACTCACCGAGAATGCGCGCGCGTGCACGACGTTTCAACGGGACGGATTACCACCAAGGGAAATGTCCGTTTCGCTGTGACTGCAGCATTCGTCGCAGGAAAGAAAGAGTAGCGAGCTCTCCGGCAATCACGATCCGAGCATCATCGGTCAGGTTTGTTCATCTCGTGCTACGTCAAGAGCACACACAGTCTGATTATCCTTTCCGTTCTTTTGTTCCTTTTGTGCAATGCTGCTGTTGCTGCTGCTGCTGCGTCGACCCTACCTACCTACACTCGATATTAATACCGATACGCGCGTGTACGGATTTGCATGCTCGCGCTAGCCTGCTCCGCGTACATCGCGCGCGGCAACTGGGCGCATATGTGGGTGCATGTACACGTACATACGCGTTTAATCCGCGGCTCGTGTAGGTCTTACGTAATGCTCGTCCGGTGTCAACTGTGCCTCGCGATAAGAGGACGAAGAGGACGAGGAAGTCGATGGAAGCAATGTACATTAAGGAGACGAGGAGCGCTGCGGGACGAGGTGAGGGGAATCCCCGAAGCGGGGTCCCGTACCGCGACGTTTTATCTCACGAGGAAGTTGCCGTTTAGCTTTCGCGAGAGGATATATGCGTGCAAGTCGCGTTTCGGTTTTAAGATACGTGTACACGGTGGATGTCTCGCGCGACCGT